AAGTTTTTTTTTATTTTGAATTTAAATTTAAAAATAATAATTTTTTAATAAATATGCTGTTGGATACGTTGAATTAGAATGTACACCAATTATTGTCCAGTTGAAATTTCAAATTCAAAATGGTAGTAAATTAAACTTGATTTAAGCAAGAAAGCAGGAAAAAGGAAATCACAAACAAAAACCTGGGTTCAAGAGATGAAAATTTAGAGAACCAATATTCAACAGAAAACTTCCCTATGGTATACATGTGAAATAATTCAAATCTAAAGGGTATACCCATGTAGGCCAGTTTCCATCATTTGTACGAAGAAGGTTTCCAGGGTGTGGATCAGCATGCTAGAACCCATACTCCGGAAGTTGATTGAATGAACAATAAACCCCTACCTATCAGCATTAGGAAACAGACGTGGTGTTAGCCATTTTATTAATGGAAAATTAATAAGTTTTGTTGGAATTTTATTAAGTTATAATTTTTTGGTATATAGTAAAAAATTGATATAGGAAAAGTCATCAAATGAATTTTATAAAAAGAAGTTGGGGTGAAAATTTTTTCTTTTAAAAAGGTGTATGAAGAAAAATTTACGAATTTTGAATTATATCAAGGAAAATAAAAGTTAAAATTGTTACTTTCATTCTTTTTGTTGTGACATTAATATGTGAAAATAAATAAATAACTTTATAAAGAAGTAAGTTCAGAAAACTTTAAGAAGAAGGTTTCCACAAGCAAGCATCCCATAAGGTGCGATTATTATCACCCCTAATATGTTATCCCATACCTTTTTATGTCATTTTCTTATGAAATAAGTGATAACTGAGTAACGGAAAAGTGAGATAAGATCATGAGAAGAGAAGAGAAAGAAGTATTGCAATTAGTAACGCATTCTATTCTTTCATCTCCATCTTCATTTTCAGTTTCAGTTACAGTTCAAGTGAGTTTTTCATACAATGGAAGCCTATATATATAGGCTAAGGAAAAATGAATGTTACATAAATTTAATGGATGAATTTGACAAGATTCATGAATGGAACTTAATTGAAACATTGAACAAAACTAGATAAAACCTTGAATATAGTGGTTATATGAATATATTTACCAGTTCATGAATGTGGTGGTTCCATGAATGTAGTTAATGGAATTCTAAATGAAGTTAAATGAATATTAAAGATGGGAGATGCTTGTTGGGATGTGTAAGGTAAAACATCCATTTGTTTATATAATTCATAATATGTTTGACTATTTTATCCTTATTTGACTCTTTTTTTTTATTTGAAAAAGCATTATGATTATAATGTCATATCATATTATAAATTTATAATATAATGTATCGTTATGCAATTGTTTACACCTAAAGTAAAACTAATGGGATGAAGCCATGTGTTAGGTTGGGGCCTAGCTATTAGATCCATGTAAGGAAAGTCAACAA